TGAGCTGCGCGGCGTCGCGCTCGGTGACGAAATCCACTCGCTGCACCGCCTCCGGACCGCGCTCCAACCATATCACGAAGCCGCCTTGGAGCACCTTGGCTTTGTCTGGTTCAAGCGCTAAGACCGCGCGATCGCCCGCTGCATCGACGCATCTTCGCGCAACAAGTATTATATAATACATGACGGCGTACAAGCACGTGCTGGCGGCGCTCACGCGCTTCAACGCGCTGCACGGCCATCTCTGTGTGCCACCGCGCTTCGCTGTGCCCAAGGACGATGCGTCATGGCCCATCGCCCTGCGCAACGTCGACCTCGCCCATGCGCTGCACACGCTCGAGGTGCATGCGTACGCGCTCTCGACGGCCGAGCACACGACGGCCCATGACCTCGGCGTCGCGCTCGACGCCCCGCTCTGGGCCGACGTCTTCAAGATGCTGCGAATCTACAAGAAGATGAATGGCGCTGCCGATGTGCCCATCGACTATGTCGTGCACGCCACGCGCAAGCGCGGCGCCGACGAAGCGCCGATCTGGCCATCGACGTACGACGGTGTCAAGCTCGGCGAGGTCGCGCGCCGTGTGTGGCTCCTCTCGGCGCAGCTGCCGTCGCACCGCCAGGACGACCTCGCCGACGTCAAGTTTGCCTTTGATACGCCAACGTCGTGGGCGAACGTCTTGCGGGGCAAAGCTGCGTTTGTAGCTGTCTACGGCTACGACGACGTTCCGGCGTCGTACGTTGTCCCATTCGACGACCCGACGATGCCGATCGAGTGGCGCGGGTGCCGCTTGGGCCACTACCTACGACTGCACCGACAGTCGACAGGTCGCTCCTTTCGACCGAGCGCCGAGCCCCTCTACGTGCTGGCGGCTCGACCCAACCTGTCGCACCTCGATCGAGTCGTGCTCAGCCTCCAGATGTACGCGATGCTGTGCGGTGACACGCTGGTCCCCCCAGCGTTTGTCGTGCCAGAGTTTAGCTCGCGCTGGCCCGCACCTCTCGGTCGTGTTGCTCTCGGCGACGCGGTGGCCTCGCTGCGAGCCGACGGTGGCGCTCTCTCGGCCCTCGAGCGCGCTGCTCTCAACGATGCTGGCTTTGTGTGGGATCCTCCCGCCGCAGCAAGGTGGCCCAATGTTCTAGCCGCGCTCTCCAAGTGGCGTGACGCGCACCGGGACAAGCCATTTGATGACGCGTTTGTGTGTCCGCTCGAGTGGCCCGCAGCGGTCGCAGGTCAACCGCTCGGGTACCTCGCGACGCTGCTCGAGGTCCACGACGACTTTAGCTCGGACGCCCAACGGCGGGCGGTGCGACTACATCGTATCGATCTCGACGCACGCTGGTCGGCCAAGCGCGCGGCTCTCGGGTTCTACTACGTGCTGCACCAGCACTCAGGTGTACCAAGCGACTTTGTCGTACCGTCCGATGGAGGTTGGCCACCGGCGGCGGCTGACATGCCCCTCGGCGCTGTTGTTCGATGGCTCCGGCAGGTGCCGCTTGCCGCAATGGTGTATGCAAGGCGGCGAGAGCTCGAAGCGCTTCAGTTTGAGTGGCTGTCGGCCAAGCCAGCGATGGCACCCGAGTTTACCGAGACTCGAGCCGAGTTGGCCAACGCCTCTGATGCGTTCAAGGTCAACAAGTCACCCAACACCGAGGCGTCGGTGCAAGCTACAGAGGCGAGGGAAGAGGACGTGGACTGGGTCAAGTGGACGATGGCGCTGACAACGTTCAAGATGCTGGACGGCCACATTGACGTGCCGGCAGAGTATACTGTTCCAACGACCGATGCTCGGTGGCCTCCGCCGCTGCACGGATTCCCCCTCGGGGCGGTGCTCGCCGACGTCCGATCTCGCGTCGTCGCACCGCCAACTTGGGTTCGCCACCAAGTGCAGCACATGGGAATGACCTTTGACGCCTCTTAGTCATCGAGCTCGTCGAGCCTAGAGCGCTGGCAAACCGCCGTCTTGTGTGTTAGGATACCCGAGTGTACTACTTCGTCATCGTACTGTAAACCTGCGGACTAGCCACAGTCGACAGAGAGATGAAAGACAACTTGACCACTTTGCAGTATTGCCCATCCGCTAGACGAGGGTGCTATAGGCTCCAAGCGCGTCAGCAACCTCGGGGCTGGCGACAGCTCGTGCGTCACCATCTCGTGTAAAGGCGGCGCTTCGTACGCGCCCTCGATGGGCCATTGCGGTTTCTCATCCTCCTACGCCGTAGCGCACACAGATTACACTGGGTTCAGCTCTGCTACTGTGCTGCTGATATGCAAGCGGCAGTAGCTCCCCTCACTCAGAGTCCTCGCGTCCACGGGAGCGGTGCACGCCCGCTGAGTGCCGCTTCAAGAGTCTCGCAGCGGTGCCACCTCTCTCGAGTGGCGGGTGCTGCGCTGCCGCGTGATGATGGCTGCACCGAGCCTCTGCCGTTGGCCGCCTACACTGTACTACGTGGCAGCGCTGGCTTCTTCGCACCTTCTCGCCATGGCGACCGTCCGAGTCTGTCGACGGCGGGCGTGAGTAGTATCTTGCCTCGCGACTCACACCGGCTTGTCCCACGCTTTCAACACCGGTGTCGGGCGTCGGGCGCCGGCGGTCGGTGTCGGTGTCGTCGGTGCTGGAAGATCGCCATCTCGGGTAGACAGGCCGGCTGTAATTAAATAAATTGGCGTCATCATCGCAGTCATTTCACGCAGTGTCCCAGCGCTCGTGTATATTATTTCACGCACTTGCATAGCAACATCAAGTTGAAATAAATTATGTCGAAATAAAAAGCGCTGTCTCGCCGCGAACCGTGTGTAAGCCGCGCAAATTTTAATTCCGAGACAGGCGGTCTCTGCCACTAGCCAAGATGGAGTGCGTCGGGCGACGGGTCTGGGCCTTCCACGGCGACGGCTGGCAGCTCGCGTCGGTCCTCGCGCCTGAGGCCGACAACGTCCTCGTGCAGCTACCCTCGGGCGCGGCCAAGGTCCCAGCCGCGGCCATTCACCCGTGCAACCCGGACGACCAGCGGCTCGACGGCGTCGACGACCTCACCGCGCTTGTGCATTTGCACGAACCCGCGATCCTCAACACGCTCCAAGTGCGCTTCCAGAAGAAGCTCATCTACACGAGCACGGGCGCGATCCTCGTGGCCATCAACCCCTTCGCGGCGCTGCCAGCGCTGTACGCCGACGAGGCCAAGAAGTGCTACATGGAGCACGCGAGCACGGACGAAGCGCTGCCACCGCACGTCTACACGATCGCCGACAAGACGTTCCGCGCCATCACATCGGCATCGTGTAGCAACCAGAGCATTCTGGTCAGCGGCGAGTCGGGCGCGGGCAAGACCGAGACGACCAAGATCATCATGAACTACCTCGCATCGGTCTCGAGCGTCAACCCGCAGGACGCGGCAAACGAGAAGGACAACGTGCGCGACCGCATCCTCGAGTCCAACCCGATCCTCGAAGCCTTCGGCAACGCCCGGACCAACCGCAACAACAACTCGTCCCGCTTTGGCAAGTTCATTCGCCTCGGCTTCGACCGCAGCGGGTCGCTCCTCGGCGCGTCCATCTCGACATACCTTCTCGAGCGCGTCCGGCTCGTCTCGCAGGCCAAAGGCGAGCGCAACTACCACATCTTTTACGAGCTCTTACGTGGCGCGTCGTCCGACGAGCTCCATGCGCTGGGTCTGACGCCGTCGATCGAGCACTATGGATACCTCAACAGCAGCCAGTGCGTGGACCGCAAGGACGGCGTCGACGACAAGGTGCAGTTTGCGCTCACGCGGACGGCCATGACGACCGTCGGTCTCTCGCCCGTCGAGCAGTCGAGTGTTTTCCAGCTGCTCGCGGCGGTCCTGCACCTCGGCAACCTCAAGTTTGTCAAAAAGGGCGTCGACGGCGCAACCTTTGCCGAGAGCAGCCACAGCCTCGTGCGCACCGTGTGCACGCTCCTCGGGCTCGTGTCGACGGACCTCGAGTCGGCGCTGTGTACGCGCGAGATCATTGCCGGCTTTGAGCCCGTGCGTATGAACCTCTCGGTCGAGACGGCTGGGATGATGCGGGACGTCCTCGCCAAGACGATCTACGCGCGCGTCTTTGACTGGCTCGTCGACCGCATCAACGTCTCGATCGCGTATTCGAGCAGCGGCAGCGAAGGCAGCAACCACAGCGGCGGCGCGTACCCGACGATCGGGATCGTCGACATCTTTGGCTTCGAGATCTTTGCGACCAACTCGCTCGAGCAGCTCTGCATCAACTTTGCCAACGAGAAGCTCCAGCAGCTCTTCGCCCGCTTCGTCTTTGAGATGGAGCAGAAGGAGTATGCGAAGGAGGCGATACCGTGGACGTTTGTCGCGTACCCCAACAACGACGCGGTCGTCGCGCTCTTCGAAGGCCGACCGAATGGCATCTTTTGTCTGCTTGACGAGCAGTCGCGGCTCTCAAAGGGCAACGACCGGACGCTCGCGGCCAAGTACTACGCAAGCTTTGCCAAGCACGCGCCGTTCTCAGCGTCCAAGCTCGAGCAAGGCCTCAACTGCTTCTCGATCCAACACTATGCGGGCAAGGTGCAGTACGCCACCAAGGGCTTTTGCGAGAAGAACAAGGACCACGTGCCCGACGAAGCGCTGATTGCACTGACGACCTCGAGCAACATCTTTGTGGCCGACCTCTTTGAGGACTGGGAGTACGCGTCGAACCGCGGCGACCACGACGACGTTCAGCGCCACTCGACGCCCGACTTGCACCCGGTGAGCGCCACCGCCAAGCTCCCGGCGCGGTCGTCGTTTTCGAGCCAGCCGTCGCTGTCGCCGTCGCGCAAGCTCAGCCACCGGAGCTCGTCCGTGTTAGCGTCGACGGTCTCGCTCAAGTTCAAAGTGCAGTTGTCGTCGCTGCTGGCGACCTTGTCGGCGTCGGTGCCGCACTTTATTCGGTGCATCAAGCCCAACGACGCGATGCAAGGCCACCTCTTTGACAAGCACCGGGTCCTCGAACAACTGCGCTGCTCGGGCCTTGTCGAGACGACCAAGATTTCGCGCATGGGCCTCCCGATCCGAATGGCGTTATCGGCCTTCCTCGAGCACTACCAGTGTCTGCACCCGACGCTGCGCAGCGTGGGCCGGCTGGTCCCCGCGCTGCAGACGCGGATCGCCGCGCCGTTCTACATCGGGAAGACCAAGATGTTCCTGAGCCATGATGCGTTCGAGCAGCTTCAAGCAGCGGTGGTGACCACGCGGGCGAGCGCGGCCACGACGCTGCAGGCGCACGCGCGCCAACACCTCGCCACGCACAAGTACCAGCGTCTTCGCGCCAAAACGATTCTTGTCCAAGCGACCGTGCGCGGCTTCTTGGGGGCGCGTCGCTTCCGCACGCAGCGCGGTGCGGCCATGTGTCTGCAGCGCCATTGGCGGCAGCTCGTGCACTACCGCGCCTTCCTCCACAACGCCACGTGCATGCAGCGCGCGTGGAACATTCTCTTGCGCTGGAAGGCGGTTGTCGCCTACAAACACCGCTGCGTCGCCGCTCGCAACGAGCTTCTGTGCCGATACATCGGTGCTTGGCGTGCAGCCAAGGCGGCGGCGCTCGCTCGAGCCCTTGGCGCTGTACGTCACTGGCAGCGGTATCTCGAGCAGCAAAAGCACTACCGAGGCGTCCGTGTCGACGTCATTCGGCAGTTTGTTCGCTGCTGCCGCGCCCGTCGCGCGTTGCGGGCGTCCGTCGTCAGCCACTGGCAAAGCATTGTCGCGGCCAACGCCCGCCGACGAACGCATCTGGTGCTGCGCTTTGTACAGCAGCACCGCGACGCCAAGGAAGCGATCGAGGCGCAGGCGCGCAAGTGGAGTCTCGACCTCCTCGAGGCCGCGACCACAGAAGAAAAGACACAGCCCGAGGCCGAGCACAGCAGCGACGACGACGAAGATGTCCACGCCGTCGTTCGCCTCTCATCGCCTTCGATCGGGCGGCGGCGGTCGTCGTCGGCAAGCCGGCTCTCGTCGCAGTACACGCTTCGCTGGGAGCGTGGCGTGCTCGGGCTTTCGTTTGACATTGCATCGGGCGTGCCGGTGGTGTGCCGCAAGCACGATGCGCTCTCCGACTGCTCGGGCATCGCCGACGTGGCCAAAGGCGACCAGCTCCTCGCGATCGGAGAGCACGTGCTGTGCGCCGACGCCGACGACATGGCAACGGTGCTCTCGGAGATGGCGCCGCCGGTCTCGCTCCGCTTTTGGCGCAGCCCGGTGCGCGCGCGGACATCGTCGGCCTGCTCGTGCTCGTGCTCGTCCGATACGATCACGATCGGTGCGACGCCGATCCTCGAAGGCGACGCCGACCTCGACGACGAGGCGGTGCACGAGGCCGACGCGTTTGACGTGCTCTTGACGACCGAGGACGTGTCTGTTGCGTTTGCCTGGAAGGCTCACACGTGCAGCCATGACGGCTTTGTGCGCCCTGCCGTCGACGGCTTCCGCGGCCATCTCGAGAGCGTCAAGGGCTTGCCCAAGCTGCGGCCGTCCGACATTCTCTTGTCGATTGCTGGGACGCCCACCGCGCACATGACGTTTGAAGCGGCGATCGACCACGTGGCGTCGGCGCCCCGCCCCGTCGTCTTGCGCTTCATCGCCGGGCCGCGGCCGTCGCAGGCGCCGCGCTCGACACCGCGCGACTACATCAAGTGGTTCTTTCATACGAACGTGGTCTCTCTCGAGTGGGACGACGACGTCCTCGGCGCCGAGCTCAAGCGCGTGCGCTACTCCGAGTGCCTCCGCGTGGCCAAGCTGCACGGCGGCGGCTGCCTCGCCGCACACAACATGCACGTGGCGTCGCCCGAAATGCGCGTCGACGTCGGCGACATCCTTGTCCGCATCGATGACGCGCCGCAGTCGTTTGCCGCTGCGTTGCGTCTGCTCCAGGAGCAGCAGTCGCGCATGATCAAGGCACCGCTGCGCCTGACGTTCGAGCGGCCGTCGCCGTACACCCAAGGTGTCAACGCGCTCTCGCGGACGATGGACCGAGTGCTCGAGTGGGCCGAGGCCGACGACCTTGTGTGGCGCCTCATCGCCGGCGTCGTGCTCTTCTACTGCATCTACTACCTCGACGAGTTTCTCTTTGCGCCCTTTGCTTCGTAGTTTAGAGACTCTGTCATCGTCAATGAGGAGGCTTATTTACATCTGCGCATGTACTGTACTGAGAGTGGCAATGAGAGGTGGACAGCACGTCGCATGCACATTGCATACAGTACACGCAGGCCGGCGAAGGGACCATGCACTCATGCAGTGGCAAGCCGTCGAGACGCACGTGCAACCATCATGTCGTCGCATCGGCATTACGGCGCGACCTTGCCATGTCCATGGATCCGCCGCCATAGCTACTAGACATGTCGATGGCATCTCTGTGCGACGGTGCGACGTACGCGAGGTATCCACGCTCCGCACCTATGCAGCCGCAAGCCCTCGGCGTGGCCGTCGCCGCCATCGCGCTCGTCACCGCGGCCCATAGCCATGGCCCGTGACGCCGCCCAGAAAGATTCACTGGCGGCCATCCAGCGCGGCCACGACCTTGGTCCGCCTTCGCCGCCGCCACCTGCTTGTCCTTCGGCCGCAGTAATGCGAAGTTCGCAGCTGCGAGCAGCGCAGACCTCTATTTCGAAGTTCGAAGCAAGGGCCGAGATATATTTTTAAAATACCATACGTTTGCTCATATCCCGGCTGGTGTTTTTATTGTGATAATAAATATAATATAATATAATAAAATCGCCTGATGCGACCTCAGTTAAAAAAAGCCACTTGGCCGCATGGAGATCGGAACCCCGGTGTGGGTCCTGGCCGAGGACCGCGTCTGGCGCCGGGCCGTGGTCCATGCGACGACGCCGACGAGCCTCGGCTGCCGGCTCACGGACGCCATCGACGAGGCCTCGCGCGTCCTCGCCTTCCCGGCGACAGCCGTCGGCAGCAAGGTCTTTGTCTGCAACCCGATCGAGCAGCGCGAGGTGGGCGTCGAGGATCTCACGGCGCTCGTGCATTTGCACGAACCTGCGATCCTGCACACGCTCAAGGTGCGCTTCATGAAGCGAGAGATCTACACGAGCACGGGCTCGATCCTTGTCGCGGTCAACCCGTTCCAGGCGCTCGCGCTCTACGACGAACGCATCAAGACGCGCTACATTGCGCATGGCAGCCGTGCTGCTAATGGCGAAAAGCTGGCGCCGCTGCCGCCGCACGTGTACGCGGTCTCGGACAAGGCCTTTCGCGACATGAACATGCCCACCGACGCGACTTGCAACCAGAGCATCCTCGTGAGCGGCGAGTCGGGCGCGGGCAAGACCGAGACCACCAAGATCATCATGAACTACCTCGCGTCGGTCTCGTCGGCCATGACCAACGATACGCACATTCCTGAGCGCGAGAACGTGCGCAACCGCGTGCTCGAGTCCAACCCGATCCTCGA